CATTCTGTGGTGTAGTTCTGGGATAAAATCTATGGGTAAATTTTTCATGACATGCTGCAATTGACGCGATCACGCGTTTCTTACCACGGGATGTCAAGTTGTCGAGAAAACTCCTAATATACGCCAGTTTTTCATACATGCAGAGGAAGCATTACTTTTTTTCGCACTCTGTGCAACAAAAAATCTCCGATAAGATACTACCTTCTAAAAGAAGTTGTAGCATTTTGCTTCCGATGTCGTAACAAAGCAAAGTTCTCGAAAAAGTCGCGCCCAAAAAGTTTTATTGTGGGTCAAGGTCTTTGCCGTCTCTGTTGGTAGCCTTTGATTCAAGCACAACGATATAGCCAGATGAAGGCCTGGTTGTATCTAATGCTATGCAAGTCAAGATAAATCGTCATAAATAGTTCCTTTTCCGTTTCAACCAGATTGACAGTCAAGAAGCTGTCCAGCGATTAACCTATAACCTTACCAGTGCGAACCTCTGCGAAGCAGAGGTAACGCACTGATAGCCTTATAAATCCATGCAGTTACTTAAGGTGTTAGTGTACCTCAACTGCGCATTGCAAAAGATTACATGCAAAACATTTTCAAATGATATGCAAAGATTTGGCAAAGATCATCATAACTTATAATAACGGGCTAAGGGTGTTTACGTTTTTGTGTGTGTGTGTGTGTGTGTGTGTGTATGTGTGTGTGTATGTGTGTGTGTATGTGTGTGTGTGTGTGTGTGTATGTGTGTATGTGTGTGTGTGTATGTGTGTGTGTGTATGTGTGTGTGTGTATGTGTGTGTGTATGTGTGTGTGTGTATGTGTGTGTGTGTATGTGTGTGTGTGTATGTGTGTGTGTATGTGTGTGTGTGTATGTGTGTGTGTGTGTATGTGTGTGTGTGTATGTGTGTGTGTATGTGTGTGTGTATGTGTGTGTGTATGTGTGTGTGTATGTGTGTGTGTATGTGTGTGTGTGTATGTGTGTGTGTGTATGTGTGTGTGTGTATGTGTGTGTGTGTATGTGTGTGTGTGTATGTGTGTGTGTGTATGTGTGTGTGTATGTGTGTGTGTGTATGTGTGTGTGTATGTGTGTGTGTGTATGTGTGTGTGTGTATGTGTGTGTGTGTGTATGTGTGTGTGTATGTGTGTGTGTGTGTGTGTATGTGTGTGTATATGTGTGTGTGTGTATGTGTGTGTGTGTGTATGTGTGTGTGTGTGTGTATGTGTGTGTGTATGTGTGTGTGTGTATGTGTGTGTGTGTATGTGTGTGTGTGTATGTGTGTGTGTGTGTATGTGTGTGTGTGTGTATGTGTGTGTGTGTGTATGTGTGTGTGTATGTGTGTATGTGTGTGTATGTGTGTGTGTATGTGTGTGTGTGTATGTGTGTGTGTATGTGTGTGTGTATGTGTGTGTGTGTGTATGTGTGTGTATGTGTGTGTGTGTGTGTGTATGTGTGTGTGTGTATGTGTGTGTGTGTGTGTGTGTGTGTGTGTGTGTGTGTGTGTGTGTGTGTGTGTGTGTGTGTGTGTGTGTGTGTGTGTGTGTGTGTGTGTGTGTGTGTGTGTGTGTGTGTGTGTGTGTGTGTGTGTGTGTGTGTGTGTGTGTGTGTGTGTGTGTGTGTGTGTGTGTGTGTGTGTGTGTGTGTGTGTGTGTGTGTGTGTGTGTGTGTGTGTGTGTGTGTGTGTGTGTGTGTGTGTGTGTGTGTGTGTGTGTGTGTGTGTGTGTGTGTGTGTGTGTGTGTGTGTGTGTGTGTGTGTGTGTGTGTGTGTCTGTCCGTTACGAAATTCGTAGAGCGTGTTCCAGCCAACGTCCTAAGCCCAAATTTTGCATAGCGAACGCTACCTGCATGAAAGCCCACCATGCAAAAGCATGAGCGGATCCGTTAAGTGGATCCGTTGAAAATTGCGTGTCAAACGGATCCACTCGGCTTCTGACCAGCAAAACTGGGCCGCTACCAACACTTTTTGCGAAGTTATGGATATGTTTGACAAGCTAATGTGGAAGCCAAGGACTTTAGCCCAGAAAACTGGAGTAAAGTTGGCTACTTTACGAAAATGGCGCCAAAAAGAGTTAGTTGCGTAAATGTTCAGTTTGCCAAGGTTTTACCTCATCCTCTGAGAAGATTTTTGCATGGAAATGTAGCCCACGGTGATTATAGTCGTCATGGCGACTATCAGGCCATAAAAATTCAAAAAACCGATTCAAATTCGCATTAATTTTTCTCAGAAAAGTTTCGTCCACGTGAAAATACCGATCTCACACAAAAAAGCTCCAGGAATGAGTAGTTGTTTACGAATCATTCGTGATAGCCTGCATGGCTCGGTGAGTTTCAATATCATTATTATGCGGGAATGAGTTAAGCATACAGAAAGTAGGGCCAGTGCGAGCCTCTGCGAAGCAGAGGTGACGCACTGGTAACTTATAATAACGGACTAAGGTTGTTTACGTGTTTTTGTGTATGTATCGTCGAGTCATTCGTAACTTAATATGCCTGTTGCACACCATGTGTGCTAACTGACGAACTGTAAAATTAAAACCTGCTCATTTGCAATGAATTCTCCTGATTTTCTTGTCCCTTTTGTTTTTGTCACATATATGCTAGTAGTAGAACATATCTTTGCAGTTTTCTAGGATAGATAATGTCTCACTGAAAAGTTAGTAGTAAGGGTGCCGTGGCTATCGCGTATAGTGTGCGTTCTCACACATTAAACTACAAATGACTCAAGGATATGTATGTCTGTGTGTCTGTCTGTAACGAAATTCGCAGAGCGAGTTCCAGCCAACGTCCTGAGCCCAAATTTTGCACATTGCATGCGACCAACGTAAGAGCCTATCATGCAAAAGCACGAGTGGTTTTGTTGGGTTGATCCCTCAGAAACTGCGCGTCAAACGGAACCACTTGGGTTCTTCTGGCCAGCAAAATTGGTTCCGTATCACCACTTTTTGCAAATCGGGGATGTGTTTGGCATGCTGATGTGCAAGCCATGGACTTTAGTCCAAGAAAGTGGACAAAAGCTTACTACTTTACGAGAACGACGCCAAAAAGAAATGATTTTAAATGGTTAATTTGCCAAAGTTTTACCTAGGCATTTGAGAAAAAATTTGCACAGAGATGAAGCTCATGTTGCCTACTGTCCTTATGGCAGCTACCAAGCCAGAAAGAGTCCAAAAACCTATTCAAATTTGCATTTGTTCTTCTGCGAAAAGTTTCATCCACGCGAAATCACCGACCTCACATGAAAAAGCATTTGGAATGGATAGTTGTTTACATTTTACTCGCGATAATCGGCACTGCGCGGTGAGTTTCATTGCCGGCATTAGTCAAGAATGAGTAAGGCATATGGAATAGGACCAGTGCGAGCCTCTGCGAAGCAGAGGTGACGCACTGGTTGCTTATAAGCAAGCTGGATATCGTCTGGGACAAAAAGCAAAGGGATATCGTTTTTGTGAATCCGAAATTAGGTTTTTTAGTCGATGTTTCCTTTTTTCAGTCGATTTGGATATTCCGGATAAGGATCAAAATGGACTTCATAAAATTTTGCCAAAGCAGGGGGAACTTCCTTTTTTGCATTTTCGGAATGTCGCCTCGTGTCGAGCCCTGGTGGTAAGAATATGTACTTGCACTTGCTGGTATATCATTAACACCGTCCACCCTAATTTGGGGATTTCGAGCTTTTAACGCCGTATGATAATAGTGCCCCTTATCAAGCCAATGCTCAAGTCGCAGCGCAAAATGCCGCTTTGGAAGCAAGAAAATTGCTTCGGAATAGCGAAGATGCACGAGGACCCCCATCCATGCCCGCCCATTTGTGCGCGCCCATCTAATCACCGTTCCAAAAAGCCGCCTGTGGGTTCTTCGGAACGGGAATTGTCGGGGAATCGGAATCAAGGACATGAGAAGGCTCTGAAACGACATAAACCTGGAGGTCGAAAATCTGGGTGGACGGTGCCTTTAAAGGGGCCTGAGCTAAGAAATTTGTGAATAAAGTGGTAAGTTGTGTCACTGATAAAGGTACTTCGAACATATGCGCTTAAATTTGATTCCAACATAACTTGCCTCTGAGTTGAATACTGTCAGTAAAATTGAAGTGCTTAAAGGCAGTGGCCCGACAAAATTGCGACTGCGATCTTTCCACATCTACATGGCCTTTTGAAAATCCGGTGCTGTGCTCGAAAAGTCAAAAAAGTGCTTCTGTCTACCGTGAGATAGCTGGAGGGCATGGGCGATCCCAGCCACGAATAACAGCTGAAGGCAGGAGACTGTAACTTCACCCATTTTGAAGGTAATTGGCTGATCGGCTCCGGCAGCCAACTGCGATGTTGGCCGGAATCCCTCGCCCATCCCCTCTAGCTATCTCCAGGATGGAAAAACGCCGTGAAAAGACTTTCTTGACTTTTCAAGCGCAGCACTGGACTCAGCGCATTCAAGAAGGCCATGTAGGTGTGGGAAGCTCGCAGTCGCATTTTCCCGAGCCACTGCCTTTGAGCTGAAAATGGAAGCCTTGATATTTGTGTGTGGCAGAGTTTTCGCTTGAAAAAAATTCCTGATTCCCGTTATTGCTACCAGCGAACTCTGTTGCGGGCATTAAGCCTCGACACAAATAAGATGCTGTATGGCTGGGTGGACGCGTTTCTGTGTTTTTTTTTTCGATGCTTTCTGAGTATTTGAGATAGCTAAAGGCTGCTGCATGACAAAGGCGCTAAAGCAGTATTAGTTGAACGGGCGCGAACGCGGCGCGCCCCTATCCTCACCGTTGTAAATCCTGCACCTCATGCGCTCTGCGGCTAATAAAGCCGCGTTCGCGTCTAAAGATATTGCGCTTTCGTCGGGCAGCGGCGTATAAATACATAGGCATTTCAGATAGCGCCATGCAGGGCTAGAGTGTTGCAAACAAATTCTGCCCAAGCAATGCACTTGTGTGGTGCATATGAAGGCATTGTGTCAACCTTTGGAAATTGGCTTACAAACCTCTTCAGGCGTGTGCATAAACATTAAAAAAAGAGATTTAATGGAGCCATAAACGTTGCTATGTGGTACCGAAAAACCAATGAACATCATTAAAAATTGATAAATCTTAACATTTTCTGAGCTTTCATCGTTTGTTTCTCACTTGTAATGTGGCATCATTCGAGTGTGTAATTCCTGTCGTGTCACTTGTGTTCGTGTCGGTAGTTATTGGTAGACCACCCTTCTTTTTCTCTTCTTTCACAGCTCGGGGATGAGGTCCTTTGACGCGTCTTCGGCGTTTTGTCGCTCTTCTCAGTCTTCTTATGGTGAGTACCAGAAAAACAAGCAGTAAAAGTGTGGCATACACTAATGCTCCAATCACGATCACTAGAGATGCGCTGAATATGGCTATCTTTAGATTGTAAAGGACAAAAGAACAGATCATGCCTGTATACGTACATATTACTACTCCGTCGTACTACATATCTCTTATCGTCATCAGCATGTCGCTCAATGTAGTCATCATCCTCAGTCGTTGCTGAAATAGTGTTTGAACATGTGCCTATGGGCAATAATCAGACTTGATCTACCCAGTCCAAACAAAGTATATACTTCTGGGCACTGGACCCAAATACGCTTTATCTACTTAGGGATTTTCTGCAAGCAGTCACGAGCGTTTGAAAGTGCAAAGTTGTCAATTTTTCTGTAATGCATTTCCACAAAACGTTTGAAAAACACTTTAGGTTCCCAGTAGGTGGTTATTTCTTCGATCTAATCAGAATCCTCACAATCATTGTAAATAACAGCCCCCACGAAACACTAGTTAGCTTCAATCTTGAACGCTCACCTTTTCAGTAGGCTTAGCAGATAACACACATATACAGAGTTTCCCAGAATTGAGTACACACTTTTTACTTGTTAATAACTCTCTTCCCAAAAAGTCTTTTGCCAAACTTCGAGCACCATTCAGTAGAGCTGGCTCCAACTTAGATTTATAGTAAAGAGCGAATCACTTATGGCTTGTTATTGTTGTACGATTACGATAGGAGCTGCCAACATACGGCGCCGCTGTGTCAAGACCTATTCGAAAAAAAACCTTCCAAAAAAATCTGGAAATTTGTAAGTCAGTGATATCAGACATGCTGATTTCATTCATAATCACCATAGATAATTTTTTACAATTGGTTTCCCTGACATAACTAACGAAAAAAGTTTTACTATAAAATGCGACCTACATATTTATAGTTAGCGACTCAGTTTAGACCTTTGATAAGTTTTAAGTCTGGGGTGACATGTGGCCATTAATGGCAAAAACCTCTTTGAAACCTAACTCAATCTGCAGTAATGAAAAGCGATGGTTGAGTCGCTCCATACCGTAAATTCAAGTTAAAGCCTGCTCTACTGAATGACGCTTCAAGCTAGGCAAAAGACTTTGTGGGAAGCGAGTTACTAAGGCTCCCGCCAGAGTGCCGAAGCCATGCCAGCGCCGAGTCAGCGTTTCGATCGATACACGTGTATTTCGTTGGGGCGGGGCTAGCTGACCTAGTTCTCAGCAGATAGCTGTCCCCAACGAAACACACGTGTATCGATCGAAACGCTGGCTGGGTGCTGGCGTAGCGCTGGCATGGCTTCGGCACTCTGGCGGGAGCCTAATGATCAAAAAGGGTTGTGTTTTTTTGAGACCAGCGATTCAAGGCGAGCGCAATTATATACAGCATTTGGAATGGCTTGACCAACTTCTGACCATTCTTCTGAGGTATAGTAGACAACTTTTATACGGCGCTGTATTTCACGCGATTATCTTGTAAAGAGTACCTTTAGTCGTAACATCTATTGCTGAAGATGTAGAAGCTTCTGTTGTGATTTCAGCAGCAGTTGCATCGGCGGTCGTAGAAGTTACGGTAGTAATTGCAGTAATGATGTCACTGGCGTTTGTAGGACCTGTTATCAATAAATATACAACTTATAGCTTATTGTTAGCAGATAACAATAACAAACATATACAGGGTTTCCCAAAGTTAAGTACACACTTTTTACTCATTAATAACTCTCTTCCCACGAAGTCTTATGCTTAACTTCAAGTACCATTCAGTAGAGTAGGCTCCATAGAATTGTAACTCTTCATTACTGTACATTACGGTAGGAGCTGCCAAAGCGCCACTGTGTAATAACCCATTCAAAAACCTTCCAAAAAATCTGGAAATTTGTATGTCAGTGTTTTCAGACATGCTGATTTCATAGCGCAGATTTTTACGAGTTCTTAAAACTAAATGATTTAATCACATGTTCAAAAAACACGAAAAACTCGTTGTTGCAAATTCCATGACACAAATTATGAAAAAAGTTTACGATAACGTGCGCACTACATATTCATAGTTAGCGACTCAGTTTAGCCTTTTAATAGAGTTTTCAGTTTGTTGAGCATCCATTGTGGAGCAAAACGTAGTCATTGATAGTCAAAACCCAAAACCCTCTTCAAAGTTTCTACAGTGCGTTTCATGACTATGCGACACCCCTCGACATTTGAGATTTCTGGATTCACAGAGGAGATCGATTACTCCAGTCAATGCCTATGTGATCCACATATGGTATAGAATGAAATGACATCTCGATAAATATGTCTGGTCACTTGCTTTTCTACATGTTGAGACATGTCTATTTTTCCATTGTCTCATAACTATAGGACACCTCTGAGTAGGTACTTTTCCCACGGAAGACAAGACGCAAAACAGGGCTTTTATGACTAATCGGTCCCACCGGGTCTTCTTACTACTTTATCAAATCTATTGGAAATGCTCTGACGAATTCATGCATGCCTTCGGTTTAATATTGTCACATGCGTATATAACGAACAGCTCCAACTTTTTCAACGCCTAATACTGCTTGTACTTGCTCAAAAACGCTGTGCCAGGGGAGACGGCCCTTCTGAACCGCTAACGTTAGCAGCTTAATTACTGCGCGCCTCTGATTGGTCGGTGCTGCCGCCGCTTGGGTGAGCGAGAGCTATGCTGTCGTTAGAGACGTCTGAATTGGACTGCAAAGACATTCTCATGATAAAAAGAATCAAACAAGATTTTCGATTCCCATAAAACTCGAAAATGTTTTATTTGGGCGGCTCAGGTAAATTCTTCAGCTTACACGTGCAGACTTCATGCTGTTTTGAAAACTGGGAAGGGCGAAGAAATCATGAAATGGCTTTAGAAACATGCAACCTTTCCAGCTTTTTGTCTAACTCAAACATCCTCACTATCATTATCGTGTGCCTCACTTGCTTTGGGATGCTCAGAAATATTTGAAAACACTGCTAGATTATAAGAAAGGCGAAGTAATTAGCGTTGCCCGGGCAGAGTAATTAGCGCTAGGACGGAGCGGTTCAGAAGGGCACACACCCCTGTGCCAGTAATCGCCAGAGATTTCCTGAAGAATTTAAGACAAGACAGCATGGTCACTTTTACAAAAGCTGCTCGCGATACTAGCGGAGAACGGCAGTAAGTGACCCGCGTGCATGTTCAAATGCGTTGTGCTGCTGCGAAACATGTGCTGTCATCGGCACTTGGTTAAGAAGATGATAGAAAGTATGAGCTAATGATTTGGTGATGAAAGTGAGCAAAAATTTTTATTTGAACGGGTAAAGGACCGACTGACCGGATGTAAGCAAAGTCCATATCATTTTAGCAAAAGGAACTTTAGCGCAGGTTCCTTTATAACCTGGGAGCACTTTGCATAAATCAAAAGCCTACACTTTGACGAGAAAATTTGCGCGCAGCTGCCAAAAAGTACTGGCAAGCCAACGACTGTTTTCCTTCCACAAGTACCGGTGACAATACTACGTTTCGAAGTCATAACACATTGAACATGCACGCGGGTCACTTACTGCCGTTCTCCGCTAGCATCGCGAGCAGCCCCTGTAAAGGTCATCATACCTCTTGTCTCAACTCCTTCGGAAAATGTCTGTAGATTACTGGAACGGCGTTTCTGAGCAGATACAAGCAGTATGAGGCATTAGAGAAGCTGGAGCAGTCCGTTATGGACGCATGTGACGAAACTGAACGGATGACATACTCGAACATGTTAGAAGCGTCTCGTAACGGACTTGGTGAAGTGGTAAAAGAGCCTGTAGCCCGATTAGTTATGAAAACCGCGTTCTGCGCATCCTTTTCCTTAGTGCTTTGCTCTAAGGTGTCGTATAGTTATAAAACAGTGGAAAAATAGACATGTCTCTACATGTAGAAAAGCAAGTGACTAGACATATTGGTCGAGATGTCGTTTTCTTCAGTACCATATGTGGATCACAAGGCACTGACTGGAGTACTCGATCTCTTTTGTAAGTCCAGAAATCCCAAATGTCGCGGGGGGGGGGGGTCGTATAGTTACGAAACGCACTGTAGCATAATCCTACAGTAATGAAAAGCGATGATTGATAGTTCAACGCTCCATACTGTAAATTCAAGTTGAAGCTTTACTGAATGGCGCTTCAAGCTAGACAAAGGACGTGGGATAAATGTTACTAACGATCAAAAAGAGCGTAATTATTCTTGAGATACCCTGTATTCAAAATCAGCGATTCAAGGCGAGTGCAATGATATAAAGCGTTTGGAATGGCGTGACCAACTTCTGACCATTCTTTTGAGGCATAGCAGACAACTTTTATACGGCGCTGTAGTTCACGCGATATCAGTGTTGTAAGAGTACCTTTGGTCGTAACTTCTATTGCTGAAGATGTAGAAGCTTCTGTTGTGATTTCAGCAGCAGTTGCATCGGCGGTCGTAGAAGTTACGGTAGTAATTGCAGTTACGGTGTCACTGGCGTTTGTAGGACCTGTCATAGTGATATAATGGTGTAAACCGTAGTTGACGTAAGGCTCCTCAATGTACATTATAAACAAAGGAAGTTCTCTTTTGAAATGCAACGTGCATAAACAACCCTGCCGGGGAGGAAGTGCAACTTGAAAGAAAGCTTTACTTTCTGATGTTTCGAAGGTCTAAATCTCACGCTCTCTTTCCATTTCCAAGTATTTTACCGTTCTTTACCACTGACAAATTGTATGAAAGCTACTGCACCGCATCCAAATTCCTGTAGATCTTTTGATGACTCCTAACTGCCAAACATTTCTTCTTCAGAGTCGTTTTTCTTTGTGGTGTTCAATGAAATCAGCATAAAATTGTTTTAATTATTTAGTCTGTTGGACTTGATAACCAGCACAGCTTTACCGAGAAAGAAGAGAAATGGAGAGAATTTTTTTTATCTGAGTTTGCGTCTGCTTCATTTTCTCTCGAAGGCTAAACTGGGACCAACAAATACTAGATAATCTGCCCACATAAAGCTTGAACAGATGCTACTGTTCGCTTGGCAAGATAGGTGATTATGCACAAATAAATCAGTCTGATTGTCTTAGCTACAACGTATTGGAGAAAGTGGCAGACTTTGTACTCGCAAGAAAGAACATCTTTCAGATAAAAGACGTAAAAGTCTGCTTTCACCTCTAGGCAAACATAGCCACGAATCGCATGCTAAAGACGATTTTGATATCAAATGCCAAATCTTGGCACATGAAAAGGAAAACTCAGCAAGAAAGGCATTAGAAGCATTCGAAATTACTGCGTATAATCCAGCAATGAACAATAAGAATGAGTGTTTGTCGACTACCGCACACTTCCTTCCCTTCATATTTTTCACACAGAATGTAGATCACATATGTGTATTTATGGTATAGTCCATTCCATCCGCCAAGACCATACTCCCGTTGCGGAATCTCACATAGCTGTGTTGGCAGAATATGTTCATCCTCTGGCATAGCTATTTCTACGGTAAAACTGTTGAACAAAGATCAAGAACTAACGCTTTGTTTCGTAGATAATATTGTGAAACAATAATGAGACTTCGAGCATTAGGCCTCTAGTAAGACGAAAGGTGTCGAAACTTAGGCCGTAATAAAGAACAAAGAAGACTTAGCAAACTTCTTTGCGTGAAAGCGCTTCAACAATGAACACGTGTGTTCAAATTCTGTTACCGTAGGCCGACAAATACTTTATAGTGTCAATTCATTCAAGTGTCGAATAGCTCAATCTCTGAGACTATATCTTGTGACAACATAATGGGATTTCGTAAAGAACTGGTCCAAAGTGATATTATGAACACCCTATGCAACATATTCGAAAATTTAAACGAACCAGCTGCACCTGTATACTACCAACTTCTAAATTACAGTTCTCCCTTGCCAGTTTCAGGCCCGTAGTAAAATGAATCCAATGAAATAGATAAATAAGTTCTTGTCTTGAGCAGCTTTTCAAAGAAAAAAGCCAGCAAACTTTACAGAAAGAAAAATTCTGTTTTCTTCCTTTCCACGCAAAATCAGCTGTTCATCGATTCTCTCCTTTTGGGCCCCGGTATTGTGCAGTTCTGCGCCAATTTTGTCTGTAGTGTTATGCAAATTGGTGTGTATCGTAAGTTATGCAGGAGCACTTACGGGAGTCTTGTCTGCGTCTCATCTTTTACATATTATTTGCATTCGTCTAACATCAGTTCACGTTCAGTTCAACTAAACGTGAACTGATGTGCAGGAGTTGACTGCAACAGGTGGACGGATGGTCAACTAAAAGTTCACTCGCCATGCTTATAGCATGGAAAGGTGGGCGGTCATCATTTACCTCACCTAGCTCAACTGATGGGTTAAGTTCAGTTCACCTGAACTGAGCAGGCTTTACTATGGGCCTCAGTGTTCGCACAGACTTCGCACTATTACCTTGGTAACTGCCGTGCCTTAGTCTAAGTCCGTTATGTTTGATATAATGAGATAAAGCCGAATGCAGAGCATTTGAGCTTTATTTGGTTTAGCAATCTGCTCCTCGCTGCCTCTGTATCGAAAAAAGTGCATTAAGGGATTGAGAGTAAGGAGTTCGAAGTGTGGCTTCATGGTACGAGAATAGTTTCAAGAGAGGC